TTAGAAATAAAGTAGCCTTTATCCTATTTATCATTCCAAAGTGAATTAAGTGAAATCAAATCAGAATCACTAATTTTGAGTTAGGGTATCCACATGGGCTTTAATGCAGTTTAAAAAAAAAAAGCAATTAATATCACACCTTTAGTTGAATCAGATTAGCTTTCCTGGGCCTCCCTGTAGACATAAGCCCTCACTGGTTAATTTACTTTTCAAGCCCATCAGAGCAGGGACTGTTACTGCATGGGTCTTTCCAAGTGGCTTGAACTAACTAGGAATAAAATGCTTTTATTCCAGAATAAACATGTCTATACATGGAGCTATTCTGAAAGAGCTAATCCAAAATAAATATCCCTGAATAACTTCAGATATAGACAAACTCAAAGGCATCTGGACAGCAGATGAGTTAATCTGTAAATATGTCATTAATTCTGTGTGCTGAATACCTGGAAACTCAGTCTCATAGATCTACATGATAGAATGAGGCATAAAGTTGTTGGAGGGAAAGAGGAGAATGTGGTAAGAGATGAAGAAGGGGAATAAAGGAGAGACAATATCTTAGTGGGGCTTGCAGCAGAGCCTATCAGGCATCTCAGAGAAGGAGATCAGAAACCAGTGCAAAAGAATACTTAAGTCTGCAGCCAGAGATTATTTGAACTTCTGAGTGGAGAAGCATGGGGATGAGAGAGGGTGGAGGAAGGACCCAGTGATGAGACTGGGTTTATTGTTTCAAAGTCCCCTCAGGTTCTTTTTGGAGCTGGCAAGGAAGAGCGCCAAAGCCTTTGCAAAGCCTGCAAAGAGTTGGGGTATTCAAGCCCAAATTGCCATTGATTAGTTTTCCACCCAGGCGATTACAGATTCCCCCCCAGAAAATTTACATGGATATGGTTTGTTCTGCTGTTGAACTATTGAATAATGCAGCTCCATAGGACATCTCCTGCTGTCCCCACCTCTTCCCAGGCGCAGGTGCAGCCATTCCTGGTTTTGTGGCATATTAAGGGCTTTGAGTTGCTCTGTGCTATGGAAAACGTAGGATTATCCTGAACACCGGTTTCACGTATCATGTAGAGGTGCACTGATACATTGGTCCCACATTGGATCAGCACTGATATAGGGAAAATTAACAGCATTGGAAAAAATTGGCTTCTTTTTTTTGCCCCATATGGCCAATAAATGCCCCATGCATGAGCGCAGTCGCAGTATGTACATAGCAAGGAGCGCAGCCTGGCAGCTTGGAGAGCAACATGGGCTGCTAAGTCTGTTGTAGGGGAAGGAAAGGGGCTTGGGGGGAGCAGATAAAGGCACCTGTGGTGAGGGAGGGAGTGGGGTAAGGGTTGGGAAAGGGACACGTACTGCTCAGTCGGGGCAGGGCGGGGCACAGGACAGAGCCGTGGCTTGGCAGCTCCTGCTGCTGAATGCACCCCAGGAGGGAATGGGGGATGTACCCTGGATTTGTGCACAGGGCGAGGGCACTGGGGCAGTGCTAGGCTCTTCCTGGTGGGGGGTTGGGCTGGGCTGCACTTGTGGGGAGGCATGACAGTGGTGCTGGGAGGGGGGCTACAGCTAATTTTGGGGTGGCTGCAGCCCCCTGCCCAGAGCCCCTTCCTATTGCTGCTGCCACCTGCCCTCACCCTGCCTGCAGATCCAGGGGCACATGCCCCCCCATGCCTCCTGGGGTGCAAGCAGGTGGGAGACACCCCACCCCCTGTGGCCCCCCAGATGAACCACTTGCGGCTCTGTCCCGCACCCTGCCCCGGCCCCAGCCCCATTCTGTCCCTCACCACAGCAGCCTCAATCTGCCCCCCTTCCTTCCCCCCACAACAGACTTACCAGCCAGACATTGGTCTCCAAGTTGTCTGGCTACATATCAGCAATCGGATGGGTATCTGCCAAAATGTCTGACTTTTAAAGGAGCCATAAGTATTGGCCTTGAAGCAAAAAAAAAATTTCTTATCTATCTATTGGTGCACCCTTAATATCATGGGCTTGATCTGTGCTGGCTTCCTAATGTAGTCAGAAGCCATCTAGGAAGTGTGCATGAGATGGTGTAGAATGGGGCCCTCACTGCAACAGTCAGAGTAAGTGGTGCTGGCTGGGGCAGAGCTGAACAGTATTAAGTGTTGCCTTCCCTGGTAGGAGTTGATCCCCAGAGGATGAATTTTTCCCCCCCCATGGGCTACAGGAACCTTCACTGGGGAAGGGATTATAGTCTGCAGCCTTAGCAGAGACTTGATTGTATTGGGCCAAATGTGCAGTTGGAGTCAGTGGAGTTGCACCAGCTCACACCAGCCAAGATCCAGGTCAGGGTATGCTTAAAAAAAGCAAACAAACAACAACAAAAAGTATGTCTGGCCTGGATTTAAAATATATTTAGTCTGCTGCAGAAACTGATCTAACAAGTGTACACGACTTGACAAAAATCAATGTTAATGTCCCTGACAATTAGCTAATGTCTTAATAATTGAACTGCACCTGATATACTGTTGCAGTATACATCTCCAGGGTGTTGTGCCATTGACTTCATAGAGAACAGCACCACACTGCGCAATTGTACAGTATGCTATCCTGCCATAGACCAAGCTTAAAGGAAGCACTTATTATTTCTCTGGGCCTGGCGTAACAATTTGGACTTGACCCCTCCTCTCCAACTCTCTGCTCCCATGAAAGAGATGGTTGCCTAAACAGAGGCAAGACTTGGGAGGGCTCTTGAAGTTAAGAGGTTGAGTGGGAGGGCAGGAGATCAGGGTAACAGTTGTGGATTTGCTGCAGACTGCAGTGCAAATCACTGCTCTTCTATGACTCAGCTCCCCATCTCTCAGATGGGGGCAGAGACAGGGATCCTTTCTTTGTTCCTGCCTCAAGGAGCTTGCAATCTGGGTAGACAATCCCTCGCTATGTGAGCATACAGTGCCTGGCACAGTGGGCCCCCTGATCCCAGCTGTTTTATCTGTGCCTGGGGCAGGGAGTATGGGTTGGGAACAACATGCATCCTAAAGATGCTGAACTGGAGAGAAAGACTTAGTGTGAAAACCCTTCCGAGTTTCCTTGCTGCTACCCCATTCTAAGTATTGATGAGCCCTGCTCCCTCCAGGGGCCCAGCTATTCTGTTTGCTTATTATTAGCTGACGTGCATGCCCTGCTCGGTTGAATGCAGTACCTTCCTTTCCCCAAAGCAGAGATTAATTAGCAGCTGCAGGGAAGAAGGCTGGGCAACTTGGAAGCAGTTTGAGAGTCAGGTCTGCAGGACTCAGCAATTTGACATTCTAATCCTGTTATTTCTCACCTTAAACGTACCTGAGTCAGCAAGGCCCTTTTATAATACATCTTGTTACTGGTTGTACTGCCCGACTCCACCCCCTCCCACCTTCTACCAACCCTCCTCTCCCCTGCTGGGTCACGGGGACTGGACTGGAAGCACCCAACCCGAAAGCGATCATTCTTCGTCCTCCGCACATTCTTATGAACAGAGTAGCATTTAGCTGCTATTCTCCTGCCGATGGATTGTTTTGCAAGGCAAACTTTATCCAGCCTATGCATTTGTGATGTACAGAAGGGCTGGATAGCAAGGGCAGACGAGGGCAATTTTCTCTCCTATTTCCTCTCCTTGCTCCTGTTGCAGGCAAGGGGGCATGCCGAGTGGCTGAAGCCAAGGCAGAATTGGGTAGGGCCAGCCATGAAAGGATTTTTCCTCCTATGAAAGCGTTTGCTGAAATCATAATTTTCTACACACCCCCTCCTCAAGAATTTTCATCAAAAAAATTAGATTAGCTTTGAGAGAACTCCCCCCCCCCCAAAAAAAAAATCAAATGTTTCTTCTGTAAGTTTTTACCTTTTTTGGTCAAATAAAGAACTGAAGACTTGACTTGCTGTAGAATTAATTTCATTGGCATTTACTTGTTTCCAGGGAGGTTGGTTAGCCTGGATCCCGCAGGGACAAATGGGATGGAGTGGGGAGGGACACAAAGCCTCCTGGGAAGAGACAAGCCCCAAACATGAACACATTAGCTAAACTACAGACAACCCCCCCCCCCCAAAAAAAAAACAAAAAAAAAAAAAAAAAAAAAAAAAA